GCACGGTCCGCTCCAGCCAGGGGAAGCGATGAGGAGGATGTCGTTCCATTCCCTGTTGTAACACCCGTGCTTGTCATTATCGAAGACGCCTACGGCGAAGCACCGCCGCCCCCTGCCTTTTTGGAAGCGCCTGCGTGGCCGAAAGTTGGGTTTGAGCTTGGCGAAGCTATCGGGCTACGCGTTCCCCGAGTGGGTTTCGAAAGCCTTCGGGGAACACGGAGTCGGGCGAGCTATCGGACCAGGTGGTTTCCGAGCTTTCGGGCCTCCTGGAGGACGTCTTGGAGGGGTTTTGAGCCGTCTTGGAGGCCTCTGGCGGGCCTTTTGGGCAGTCTAAGGCCATCTTCAGGCCATCTGGGGCCGTCTTGGGTGCATCTTGGGGCCATATTCGCCGTCTTGGAGGCCTTCTTGGCCGTCTTGGAGGCATCTTGGAGGCCATCTTGGCCGTCTTGGAGGCCATCTTGGGCGTCTTGGGGGCCTGTTGGGCCGTCTTGGGGTCTTGTTGGGGCCCTGTTGGGGGCCTCTTGGCCTGTCATGGGGCCATCTTGGAGGCCTCTCGGGAGCTCTTGAGGCGATGTGGGGGCCTCTTGGGCCGTCTTGGGCCTCTTGGGGCCCTCTTGGGCAGTCTTAGGCCATCTTGGAGCCATCTTGGGCCGTCTTGGAGGCTTCTTGGACGAACTTGAAGGCATCCTGGGCTCTTTTGGGCGGCCTTGGGGACATCTTAGACCATCTTGGGCGGACTTGGAGGCCATCTTGGGCCATCTTGGCCATTTTGGAAGCCATCTTGGAGTCATCTGGAGCAGGAACAACTTTTTGGAACCACCCTTTCCGGGCCATTCCGGGACCCTGGCGGGCGGGGCCGAAAGCCCAGGGGGAGTTCTGATGCTTCTTCGGGTCTCTTCGGAGCGCTCTCGGGGGCCTCTTGGGGGCAGTTTTTCGGCCTCTTGGGAGCCTTTTGGGGGCTTCTTGGGGGGCTCTTGGGGCCTCCTGGGAGCCTCTTCGGGACTCTTGGGAGCCTCCAGGGGGCCTCTTGGGCCTCCTGGGGGCCCCTTGTCGCTGTGGGGCCGATTGCCGAGCAAGCTCCCCGTTCACCGCAAGGTTAAGAGTGCGGAGATGTGGGCCTTCTGTGAGGTGCTGGAGAATGTCATGCCGCCGTGCCACATCCACACGGACCACAAGGGCATCGGCCGCGTGCGGACTTGTGGAGGCGCATCTGGCACAAGGCTACGGACCTGGACCTGGACATCGAGTCGGTTACGCACGTCAAGGCGCACAGGTGAAAGGCGAAGATCTCGCACTTGCAAGGCGAAGAGCTCAATATTGCCAAATGCATCGCAGCTGTGGACTTGCTGGCCAAGTTGCTGGCCAAGGAGGGCGCGGAGCAGGATTCAAACTTCGGGAAGCAGCAGGCCATCCAGGAACTGGCGACGAAGGTGAGGCGAGCCGTGCGGAGCATTGGCTGGTGGTACCAGAAGATGAAAGGCGAGTGGTCATACGTACCGAAGAGAGAGCCAGACAAGCCGAAGAGGAAGGTCATACAACCGAACTTGTGGCAAGCGAGCAGCCTCGACATGTATGCGCAAGCAACTGTGGGAAACTGAATGCAGTCTACCACCGTGGCGATCAACGGGGGCGAGACGGACAGGTGCTTCGGGGTCTTTGGGAACGTGTGTGGCTATAGCAGCGGGAGCGGCTGTGTCTACAGCATGAGAAGGAGCAGGTGGTGAACGGCGCGCGGCAGGCGAATCTCAGCGACCAGGAGTACGAGAGCACCGCGTGAGGTGAGGTGCACGGGCCATGCGTTGCCTGTGCCGCGTGCGGGGCGCATTCGGCGACGAGAAGGCTGGGGCTTGGTGCAGCGTGCACTGGGTCGCTCGAGAAGAAGGGCAAGTTCAGCGAGGACGGCGCGAGGAGGAAGAGACGGCATCGCATCCTTGCAGGGAAGCACCCGCAGACAGGCAAGCCGCTTGGGGCGGGTCCAGTCCTGCCAGTTCAAAGAGGGTGAGTACGAGGGGCTGGCCGCCTACGCCGCGGAGCAGGTCATCTTGGCCTGAGTCCAGGCCGCCATGGGAGGCGGCAGTCGGGCCTCGCGCGGGGATCCGCTCGAGGCTCTGGGGGGGGGGGCTCCTGGGGCCCCCTGGACTCGAAACGTCTGTTCGGGTCCCCCATGGGGGCCCCTTCTTGGAGCCGCCTTTGGACCCTCTTCGGCCGTCCTGGGCGTTTCTTGGTCCGTCTTGGGGCCCTCAGGTGCCGTTGTCGGGCCCTCGTGGAGTCCTGTTTGGCCGTCTTGGGGCGATCTTCGGGGCTCGGGAAGCGAGCGCCCGGAAGCCGACAAGGCGAAAAAGTCATCAACTTTCAAGAATCAAAGGCAAGTCAAAGTTTTGGGCCTCTTGGGGCCCTCTTGGGAGGCCTCTTGGACAAGTCTTGGGGCGTCTTGGGGGCCTCCTGGGCCGCCTGGGGGCAATCTTGAGCGTCTAGTAGCGATGGTTCGGCGACTCGGGGCCCTCTTGGACCGTCCTGGGGGCCCTTGAGGCCCTTTTGGTTCGTCTCGGGGCCCTCTTTGGCCCGAGAACAATTCCGGCGCCACCACTTCCCAAAGCCCAGGGGGCACGCTGGACGCCCCGGGAGATTTGTGGAAGTTTGGGTCCGCGCCCCTAAAGCATTCCCCAGGAGAAAGAATTGAGGCTCAGTGGGTTGGGCAAAGGACTTGAGGACACGCCCACTCCGTGCCCAGCGGCACGGTGGCGGATCACTGGTGCCACCCAATACCGCCCATGCGCTTACGTGCGACATCGCAGGATCGCCCACAAGACAGTCCTAACCGCTGGTATCAGCCGAAGGTTTGGATGCTGAACATATAGCATCAATCGCCGGCCACGTCGGGGAGGGAACATGACCGAACTTGTCGGTTTCGGAAGAGTCGATCGCTGCGCCCATCCGTAGGAAGACGGTGGCTATCGGAGGTTGAATGCACCCAGAGGGGGATCCGAATTGGTATATGCGACGTCACTCCCAAGGGAACCGGGCGTGTTCACTCCGTGCAGCGCATCCCGAATTCGGGAGAATCGATACGGCTGTGGCAGCGATATGCAGCCCGGTGGGTTGCGAAAGTGCGGCTCGTGCATTGCAGCTCGTGCGCGGGATATGCTTTGCGTTCCGAGTTCCTGGATCCCCTTTTTCCATGATGTTTTGCGATCTTCCTCCGCCCTGTTCCTTCGTTCTCCTCCCTCCTTCCCCTGTCGCATCCGTGGCCAGTTTGGCTCGAGCCATTTTGGTTCAAGCCGTGTTGCCATGTGTTGCCCCTTTTTCCGCGCGCGCGCGTTATCAATTTCAGCGAGGGCCCAGCGTGTCGCTAGCTGTATTGCGACCGCGGCATGCAGGCGTGGAGAGGCTACGGGTTGCCTCCGCCGCAGCCGCCGTGGCAGCCCGCGGCGCTGCCCCCGCTGCCGCCCCCGCGCCACCCGCCGTAACGCCCGCCCGCGCTGGCGACAAACAGTGGTTCTTCCTGCTGATGTGCCTGTCCCACTTTCTCAGGGTGCTCAGCGTTCTGGCATTAAGCCGGGCCTGTCCCTAACAGGGGGAATTATTCAATAATAATCCAAACGTAGTCTGGGGACTATTGTTTGACCATGTTTGAGTACTTTATATATATATATATATTTGTTGGGGGTATTTTTAGCTATTCATCCAAAAACCGTTCGTCAAAGGGGGACACGCCCGACCTAATTCTGGTATCCTCGTGCCGCTTCTGCTCCCGCCCGACTGCCTGCAGGTCCCAGCCTCATTTTCGGCGAGGCCCAGCGGGGCAGTGGATCTCCAAGGCGCAGATCCAGCAGCCGAGCAGCGCGCACCTCTGCCAGTAAACCCGCCTCCAGGGGACCTTGTTCTGGCTTTAAATCGGGCCTGTCCCTCTACAAGGGGGATATTAAAGTATACTCCAACAAAAATACTCTGGGGACTATTCTTGATCATTTTGAATATTTTTTTTGGTATGTTCTGAGTATTTTTAATTTTTCGCTCAAAATCCGCCTGTAAGGGGACAGGCCCGACCTAATTCTTGCTTTCACTTCTCCATCTATGAGACCTGCGGGCGAACGTGACAGACAGCGTCCTTCCAGCAGATGGAAGCGTCCGTCCCCTTTTCGGACTGCCGATGAAACGCCCGAACGCCCATGTATTGTGACAGGCTTCGGTCCCGCGCCTGTCCCCATGAGCCGCCCCCTGCCGCCTTCCCCTTGCACGCTTGCTCTTTTCAGAGAGTGAGGCTCGGCGCCCCTCTCTTTTCGCGTTCGCTGACAGCTCGGCCGTTCAGCAGGCCAGGTCTTCTTCCCAACTAGCTGGTAGAACCGCCGACGCCCGGCTTCATCGGCTCTTTCGATCTCAAGTCTCACCAGCGCCTGCCCCAATGTGGCTCTCCCGATCGCGCTCCAGATCCCCATGTTGGGAAATGCGAAGCCGAAAGGCACCGCCGTGCAAATGCGCAACACAGGAGTTGTTTCCTCCGCGCGAGCACTCGGTGCATTAGAGTCACTCTGCCCATGTTAGGGTTTACCATGAGATGAGTGAAGGCGACATCGACGCCTATCTTCGGGCCAGGCGGGCAGGACTCACCTACGAAAGCGCCGTGCAATACGGCTCAGTTCCTGAGCGCGGGTGCCCTCCCCTGCCCAATCGTGGGGCATCCAGGGTGCCCGGATACGACCAGTCGCCGCAGCGGGACTCAGGCACAGGAGCTTCAGACGCAGCTGCAGGGGCCTCGGAGGCAGTTCGCCCTCCTAGCTGCAAAACGTGCGCTGGTGGGACTTGGCCTGCTACGACAGCTAATGGTGCTGGTTTCAGGGCTTCAGTACCTACCCAACCGTCCCCCAGCTTGCCACCACTGCGGGCTTATCACGCATGATGGCCGCTGGTGCAGCGCCAAGCTGTGCAAAGCAGGCAGATAATTTCAACGTCAGTCTTGCTGGACTGACTTTGCGCTCCCGCGCGAGAAGGATGGCTGGATTGCTTGGTTCGATCGTCGGTCCAAAGGAGCATCTCAATGTATCCCCCGTGCCCGACAGCAAGACCAGTTACAGTCGGCCCGGATTAGCAGGTCGACCCTACCAGCTCAAGGGTACCCTTGTGTCCTGTGCCTCGCGACACGTGCCTTCTTACACTCCTATGGCGATGTGGCCTTCGGAAGGGTCTTGTGTTCTCTCGCGTGCCCTCTCCCATGAAGGCCGGCTGTAATAGTTCTTGTCGCACGTTGTTCGCAGCCTGCTCCCACTGTGCAGGCCTCTTCAACAGCTGCCGTCGCATTTCTGGGGTCGGGTCTTCGATTGCTGCAGGTCTATTCAGGTTCCGTGCACGTGGGTCGCCCCCTTCGGCCTCCGTTTCCTTTGTGCGCTGTTTCCTGAGATCACCTCTTGACCAGTCTCCCCAGTCTTTGCCTTTAGGCCTGTGCTTTCAGTCGGGCCGTGAGCTTTCGAGTCTGAGCGCAGTTTGCACTTGTCTCTGTATGGCGCACGCATCTGCTGCTCGATGTCCGCATGTGATGTTTGCTCCTGCAGCTTATCCAAACCTGTACTTCAGTTACAGGCCTACAGCCTGTCTGGCCTCGCGCCATCCAAGCTCGTGGTTTTGTATGCCCGTAATTGCTAGTTCTTTTTTTGTTGCTTTGGCCTTGCTCCGATCTGGTTCACGTTTCCACGTCGTGTGGCTTGGTGCCGAAATTTCATCCCAACGCAGCAGGATGTTGTGCCCAACTCCTGCTCATGCAGTGGCAGCATGCGAGCCGGCTGCGGGTCTCTATATGGGGCTGCAGTGGATGTGCTCCCTCCTTCCCCCTCCCTCTCCCTTCTTTCCTCTCCCTCTGCTCACGGCTGAGTTGGCGCGCGCCCATTCGGGCACTCGAGCCTCCCATGTCTCCTCCCCCGTTGGCACTGTCCACAGGGTTCTTTACTCTTCGGATTGGCGCGTGCAACTCCCAATCGCGGCAGCTGCCACCGTTCGACCTAGATGTGTCGGCGTGCCCTCGTCTTTTCACCAGCCTGGGTCAGGAGCGCTCGCCCACGCGCGTGTTTTTGGAATACAGCCAGCATGTCGTCGTCTCTTCCCGATGCCGATACATGTGCTTCCTGTCGCAACTGCGTTGCCGATTTGTTGTCCAGGCCACGGTTCGTAACATGAACTTGCTTGTTGGAGGTCGGCTTGCGAAGCGCTCCTGGTTTGCTTAGCGACCATTCGGTTCGCGACATGGTCGTGGCACCCGTGGTGTTTTGTTCGAACAAAACATACCGCGACTCACATGACGCAATACACGCATCTATCTATACTTACATCTATATATGGACATGTATGTATGACTGGGTACCCTCAAGTGCAAACGAGTATTCGGCGGCGAGGTCGGGGGGGGGCGTAAGTGGGGGCAGGCCTTCTGAGAAGGCGGCGGGACTTCCCAGAAACCCTCCACCGTTCCAAAAGTTTATTTGTTCTGAATAAAAGAACAGGCAATTTCTCAGAAGGCCCGAGGGTTCTCGAGCCCTCTGACAAAAAAGGCCCGCCACCTCCCACTTCCCCCAGGGCTCGCCGCCGAAAGATGGGGAACTTCAGTTTTTTTCGGACGAGGATGTACAAGACGGCTCAGTCCGCTGAGCGCTGAGCGTGCGATGTCGCAACCGCTCGAATCGATGTTTCAAGTCGGTTCGTTTGAGGCCAGTGCTGGCTCCAGGGTCGGAAAAGAAGATGCATTCGTGAAGGAAAGGTCACCGCGTTTCTCGCCAGCAAAGGAGGGCCAGGCGTGGCCAAACCGAGAGTTTGCGAACCATCCTTTTCCATGACGCCCCCTTCGCTTCACCCCAAGGCGTATGTATGCGGTCGGATGGAAGCTTGGGAGGCGAGGGTTACGTCATGGAAGGTGCTCGTCATGGTAGGGGTCGGTTAGGTTGCGCCCGAGAGGGTATTTGGTGACGTATCAGACGACAGGAAAGGTTTCCGCCAGTCGCGTTTCGGTCTCCACGCCTCGCGGAAGAGCTCCAGAGCGGGGAAGCGTCAGCAGGGCGACCCTTCGCTTGCCAGGCAAGGCATCCTCGAGATTCTCAGCGAGGTCTTCAGTGGGATCGGCTTGGGGGAGAGGCGTGCGGGCACGCCGCGTGGGGCATCCGAACTCGTGCGCAGAGGGCCCCTCTGGGCCACGGAGCACATGGCTAAGGACGCGGGCCACCCAGTGCGTTTTTGTCGCGGTGGTCTGGTGCACGGGACGCACACGGATGTCGGTCTTGGATGGGCGACGTGCGCTCCCCGAGAGCCGACGTCGCGAACACAACAAGATATGTTCTACGAACCACGCCCGGAGCCCTGGACCCCCTCTCTCTGCGCTGTGTTCGAGCCGGATCGACCTGCGAGGGCCCCAGGGCCCGAAACCCAACAGAGAACGTCCAGCTCAAACAATTTGAGGCGCCAGGATCTCGAGGATTCAAGGGGCCCTGGGACACACAAATAAATACACAAATAGAAGCATTCCCCATATTTTCCCATATTTTCTGGGTTTTCGTCTCCCCCCCCACTTCCCATATTTTCCCAAATTTCCCTGGGGATCGACGATTCATTGTGTCGGTGTGTTGTTTCCCCTCCCGAGGGATGGGGCGTCCCTCCGCGCGCCCGAGGCGACGGCATCGACTCCGACTCGGAGTCCGAAGCCGGCGCCGCGGCGCCTCCGCCCGCCTCGCGGGGCGTGTCCCTCGCGTCCGCGGCGCCGTCCTCGCCGCCGCCGCGGCTGGAGGCGCGCGGCTGCTGGCTGACTGGGCGACGAGAGCCGTGCTGTGCATCTCTGGGCTTAAGTCGGGCGTGTCCCCCCACAGGGGGATGTTCGAGGAACGATACAACATACTCAAAACATATTCCCAAATTGTCCCCAACATCCTCAGAAAATAGTCTCCAGACTATTGTTTGACTATTTTTGAATATTCCTCCTGTAGAGGGACAGGCCCGACTTAACTCTGGACATCCCAGACGGTGTCGGAGTTCGGCTGGACTGAGGTATAAGATCGAGGTCGCTTCGGAGAGGGTGCCCTGATGTCCTTCGTGTCTGTGGACTGTTTCTTTGTGCATCCTGGTGGAGGGCACCCTCGAATGTTCTTCAGTTTGGTCGGCGGAGGGTCTCATGCTTTTGCAGGATGTTCTTCTGACCTAGGTCTGGCCGTAGACGGGGTCGGAGGATCTCGCCGCATCGCCGATGCATCGGCGATGCGGCTCGATGCGGAGCCCGACTCTCTCCACGTCGACGTCCCCGCTGCATCGCCCATGCATCGCCGACGTCGCCACCGCATAGCCGATGCATCGGCAATGCATCGCCGATGCATCGGCGATGCGCTGCGCTCCTTCGACCACATCAACTCGGGAGGGCTCTAGCATCTGCGCCCACCGTGGCCAGGCCCATCTTGGGCCCAGGACCGGTGTAGACCCTCCCCTGGCCAAGCCAGGAGGTCGTATACACCGATGGTGGGCCTGGGATGGGCCTGGCAATGCAGAGCTGGCGTGCTTTACCAGCCTGGAACATATCCCTATCCCTATGCTGGGCACCTCCTCATCACGATGCCAATCTTAGGGATTCCCTTATTTTTTGAGGGCGAATCCCTAAGATCGTCATCGCCTTTTTGGCGTGTCAATCTCAGGGATGTGGATACGTTCGAGGCTGCTAAGTGTTTGTATAGGGTCGTGCGCAGAGCAGACGGCACAGGCGCGTGCTTTCGGAGGTCTGCGCGCAGGCATTTCTGGGTCGGACACGTACTCTCTGGTCGGCCCTGGACACTTCCCCGGCGGCTCCAAGGGCGCCCCTGCCGAGCCCCGCGGTCGTCGTCGTGGGCGTCGTCGCCGTCGTCGTCGTCGTCGTCATCTCCGTCCTCGCCGTCGTCTTCGTCGTTCTCGTCTTCGTCGCTGTCGTCGTCGTAGTCCCCGTTCTCGTCGTCGGCGTCGTGGTCCTCGTCCTCGTCCTCGTCCTCGTTGTCGTCATCGGCCGTTGTCGTGGTCGTGGGCGTCGTTGTCGTCATTCTCGTCCTCGTGTCGTCCTCGTCTTCGTCCCCATGCTTGTCATCGGCCGTGGTCGTGGTCGTGGTCGTGATCGTGGTGGTGGTGGTCGTCGTCGTCGGCGTTTCGTCGTCGTCGTAATCCTCGTCGTCGTCGTCCTCGTCCTCGTTTTGGTCATCGGCCGTGATAGTCGTGTTCGTCGTCGTCGTCGTCGTCGTTCTCGTCGTCGTTTTTGTCGTCGTCGTTGCCGTCGTCGTCGTCGTCGTCGTGGTGGTCGTCGTCGTCCTCGTCCTCGTCCTCGTTCTCATCATCGGCCGTTTTCGTTGTCGTGGTCGTGGTGGTCGTGGTCGTCGTCCTCGTCCTCATCCTCGTTCTCGTCATCGCCAAGGTCGTGGTCGTGGACGTCGTCGTCGTCGTTCTTGTCGACGTCGTCCCCGTCCTCGTCCTCGTCCTTCTCCCGGTTCTCATCATCGGCCGTGGTCGTGGTCGTGATCGTTGTCGTGGTCGTGGTCGTCGTCGTCGTCGTAATCTTCGTTGCCGTCGTCGTCGTCGTCGTCGTCATCTTCGTTGCCGCCGTCGTCGTCGTCGTCGTCATCGTCGTCTTTGTCGTTGTCGTCCTCGTCATCGTCGTTCCCGTTTTGGTCATCGGCCGTAGTCGTCGTTGTCGCCGTCGTCGTGAGCGTCGTGAGCGGTCGTAGTGGTCGTGAGCAACGTCGTCGTCATCGTCTTCGTTGGTCATCGGTCGTAGTGGTCGTCAGCGTCGTCGTCGTCGTCGTTGTCGTCGTCGTCCTTGTCATCGTCGTTCTCGTCGTCGTCGTCGTCGTAATCCTCGTTCTCGTCGTCGCCGTCGTCGTCGTCGTCGTCGTCGTCGCCGTCGTCCTCGTCCTCGTCCTCGTCCTCGATCTTGTCATCGGCCGTGGTCGTGGCCGTGAGCGTCGTCGTCGTCGTCCTCGTCGTCGACCTCGTAGTAGTCGTCGTCGTCGCCGTCGTCGTCGTTCTCGTCGTCGTCATCGTCGTCGTTGTCGTCCTCGTCCTCGGCCTTGTCCTTGGCCTTGTCCTCGTACTCGTTTACGTCCTCGGCCGTAGGCGTTGTCGTGATCGCGGTCGTGGTCGCCGCCGTCGTAGTCGTCGTCGTCGCGCTCGTCGTCGTTGTCGTCGTCGCTGTCGTCGTCGTCGTCCTCGTTCTCGTCGTCGTCGTCGTCGTCCTCGTCCTCGTTCTCGTCCTCGTCCTCGTCCTCGTCCTCGTCGTTGTGCTCGTTCTCGTGATCGGCCGTGGTCTCGGTCGTGAGCGTGCTCGTGGTCGTCGTCGTCACCGCCGCCGCCGCCGCCTTCGCCGTCGACGCGCTGCTGCCGTGCGACGCAGAGGCCCTGCCGCAGTCCCCCCCCGCTGCCGGCACGCCGGCGGCCGCGCTGGCCGGGCTTGGGGCGGAGGCCGCCCTCAGCGGCGGGGCGGGCCGCACGTGACGACGACGACGACGAAAGCATATCATTCGCCGAGCGCGTTCCGCTACTCGCAAAGTGCCTACTCGCAGACGTCCGAAAACACACACATGTCTACTTCGATGCAATTCATCGCAGACCCCCCGCGGCGGATCCAGGCCATTTGCGAGCAGTCACTTTGCGAGTAGTGGAACGCGCTCGTCTAATCATCTTGGGCTGGTGCAGCCGGCATGTAGGTACGCAAGTTTGAGGCGACGTATTTTTGTCAGTTGGCATGTTCTGGTCGGTGCACGTCCGTGGCCGTTGTGGCTCAGCTTGTTCATGTCTGTTAGGCTCGCAGGCCCCGAGGCCGTCTCCAGAACGCTCAGTTCCCTAAACAATCAAACTGAAACATCGGACTTCTAATTTGATTCACACGAGTTTCTGGAGATCTGTGCAGTAGTCCTGTAAAGAATATGTGTGAAAAAGAAACTGATTGCAGAGCCGCGTGTGGAAAGACGGTTCAGACAGACACTCGGGGTTTCCATTTCTCACGTATCCCTGACCTTACCTGCGATGGCATATCCCTGACCGTACTGGCGATCTTGGCGAATCCCAGAAACATGTCGCAGGAGGAGTGGGAGCTGGGCATCATCCAGCCGCACCAGGGGCGTCGTCAAAGCGCCCCGCTACTAAACAAAAGTTGGTGGGCTATCCTGCAGCTTCGGCCAGCGATTGATTAGAGTTGCAAGAGGAATCTGACAAGTTCAATCGGAAACAAAAACATATACATTACCAGTGGCGGGCTGTTTTTCAATCTCAGGACTTTTTGAGGGCCGGGGACGACGTCGGGGTTGTGTCGTCTATACTTTTTTTCCCGCTTCCCAGGATACCACCAACACATGTTTTCACCAGGATCCCATACACACCAGGATCCGTTCTCCTGTGCCACTTTCGGTGCAGGCCAAGAACACGTGTCGGTGTTTCGTTTCCCTATTTAGGAAATTTCATTCACAAGCTGTCGGCACATTGGAGGCGATGTTCCAAGCACAATTTCGGGATATGAAGGCATCATTTGATGCATCCTGCTTTCAGTACGAGGACCAAATCCTTGCTTTACACGGAGGCGAGGACCCCGACGGGGAATCATATGCGCCTATGGACGGCATTGCCGACGAAGTGGAGCAGGCGCAAAATATCAAGCTCGACCCGAATACGAAAAACCAGTCGCGTCTATTCTCTTCTCTTGGCTTGTCTTCCTGTCCACTCTGGTCTTTTCTTCTTTCCCCTTCTATTCTAATTTCTTGTATGCCATATCTTATGTTCCCTTTTTATCCTAAGCATCCTGGACTCTCATATGAGTTATGCTCATTTTTTGGATTCACTATGCCCATGCTTATATAATGTTCTTTGATATTCTGTTACATTCCCTTCGATTCTCTTCGCGCCGATTTTTTAGATGCCTCTTTATCCTTATCGTTCTCGTGCTCTTTCCCTTTCTCTGCACCCTTTTTCCATGTGTTTTTGTTCTGCTTCTCTGTCGCTGTCTCTTCCTCTTCCTCTTGCTCTTTCTCTTTTTCACTTCCTCTTCGCTTTCCCTTCCTCTTCCTCTTTCTATTTTCCTCTCTCTCTTTTGCTCGTTCTCTTCCTCTTCCTCTTGCTCTTTCTCTTTTTCACTTCCTCGTTCGCTTTCCCTTTCTCTTTCCCTTTCTCTCTCTATTTTTGTCTTGCTCTTTCTCTTCCTTTTCCTCTTTCTCTTTCTCGTCGGGCCTGTGCCGCGCCGCCTCGGCGCGGCGGCGGACCTTGGCGCGGGCGCCCGAGGTCTGCGGACCTTGGCGCGAGTGCTCCAGGCCGCGCTCGGGCCCCGGGGGGCCCACCGGCGAGGCACCCCATCACCACCCACCAAACCACCCCAACCCAACCCGAAGGCTCAAATTTACCCTCGATTTCCAGTGGGGGGGGGGGTCGGGAAACATCGAAAAAACACATGTGGAACCCTTACCCCCCCCAACCCGAAATTCGGGTCTTCGGGTTGGGTTGGGGTGGTCTGGTAGGTAGTCACCCCACGGCGCGACGTCCGTGCGGAATGCTGGGACCGAGAGCCTCTAGGACTGAGTTGGGCCTGTCCCTCTACAGGGGGAACGTTCGAAAACAGTCCAAAGGTAGTCTGGGGACCATCTCTTGATGATTTTTGAGTATTTGGGGTGTGTGTTTTGGGTATTTTTCACTTGTCGCCCCAAATCCCCCTGTAGGGGGACACGCCCGACTTGACTCTAGGAGGGACCTCCGAGACTGGAGCTCGCTGTCAAGATTGAGCGGTTCGCGTGGCGTCTACCGCCGCGCACAGTCAACCCGCATAGTACCCATCGGTCGTTGAAAGTGGGTATTTTTGGATTCCCGGATTCCCAGGTTCCAATCTACTTTCAGCGCCTTCCTACCTCAAGAGTCGAGTGGTTTTCCCTCTTCCCTCCTCTTCAGGAGGCGGGCGGAAACCCAATCTATTTTCAATGCCTTCCTACTTCATGTTTCTACCTACTTCTTTCGACCGATGGGTAAGGGTGGGCAGCAACCTTCCGAAGGGTACCCTTGCATTCTTGCCTCCTCGGTCCACTCGTGGCCACCTTTGATGGACGCGTCCCGCTCGAAAAGCCTCGAAGTCGGCGTCCAAGGCCTTTGCATCCTGATCGAGCATCCTTACGATACGGGCCGACTGCACCCAGCCGCTCCCCACTCAACCCGAGGGCCCCAGACTCCCCCCGCCAATGTTTCGGGTTCGTGGGCGAACGGGTTCCATCGCGTTTTCCCAACTGTTCCAGGATGTCCCCCCTAGTGTGAATTGACGGGCCCAGCGGCGACTTCGGGGTGAGTGGGGGTGGCCTGGTAGGTAGTCAGTCTGGCATCGGGGTCCGCGTCAGCAGGGCAGAAGCCTACCCTAGGGGCCCGCAGCCCTTGTGGCTCGAAACCCTTTGGCTCCCTGCTGACAGCCCGCGATCACCCGAAAGGCATGACGGGTATGCTGCTGCTGCCGCTGCTCGCCGCACCCGCCGCCGCGGGGTCTCTGGCAGCTTGCGACGCGCCGATCTTCATGCAGAGGCATCAGGCAGCCAATCTGGCCAGCCGGTTGGCCACAGCTCCTTCGGCGACCTGCCACACGGCCGTGCTCGGGGAGGAGTGCTACGGCCATACGGCGTGGGCACATCAGGAGGGTATCCGCTCCTCTCCGCAGTGGTACCCTGGCTTGTCACCAGAGTCTTCCTTCGAGGAGTTCCAGCGATACCTGTGGAGCCGCGGCTTGGGGGACTGCCCCGAACCTTGCGCGCCGGCCCCGCCGATGGCAACGCCTGTTCCGACTCCCACGGCGACTCCTGCGCCGACCCCTACGCCGACGCAGGCGCCGACTGCGACCTGCCACACGGCCGTGCTGGGGGAGGAGTGCTACGACCATGCCGCGTGGGCGCGTCAGGAGGGTATCTAGTTGCCTGCGGCAAGTCCCACATTCTGGACGGCGACTGTTAGCGGGAGGCCGTCACGTGTGAGTCCTGGTGTGTCAAGGCTTGGGAGAGCCGTGCTGAGGGTGATGTTGATGTTGATGTTGATGTTGATGTGGATGTTGTGTAATCTGTTGTTGTTGATAATGATGGTTATGATGGTTTGAGTATAACATGACGAGGATGGTGACGATGAGGACACGGATGAGGATTGACGAGAATGAGGGTGAGGATACGGATGAGGATGATGATGAGGATGCTAATGATGATAATGATGCTGCTGCTGATGATAATGCTAATGATGATGCTGATGATGATGCTGATGATGATGATGATGCTGCTGCTGATGCTGGTGCTGATTATGATGCTGATGGTGACGATGCTGATGCTGTTGATGATGATGTTGGTCATGATGTTGATGATGGTGATGCTGATGTCTGCTGCTGCCGCAGATGCTGCCGATGATGACGATGACGATGACGACGTCGATTATGATGGTGTTGATACTCCTGATGATGATGAAGAAGAAGAAGACGATGGTGGTGGTGATGATGCTGCTGCTGATGATATTGATGACGATGCTGGTGGTTACAATAATGATGAGGATGCTGTTGATGATGCTGATGACGATGGTGTAGATGACGACGACGACGGTGATGATGATGATGCTGCTGATGATGAAGATGCTCATGCTGGCGATGGTGACGGTGATGGCGATGGTGATGCTGATAGTGATGGTGATGGTGATGATGACGATGCTGATGATGACAATGACGATGACGATGACGACCATGATGATGCTGATATTTCTGATGATGATGATGATGATGATGCTGATGACGACTACGATGCTGACGATGACGATGATGACGATGATGCAGCTGATGATGATGCTGATAATGCTGATGATGCTGATGCTGGTGCTGATGCTGAGGATTCTGATGCTGATGATGATGATCATGCTGATGCTGCTGCTGCTGATGTTGATCACGATAATGATGATGCAGATTGTGATGATGCTAGTGATGCTGGTTATGATGTCTACGTGTAATATGTTTGTGAGACCGCGACCACTTTCTGCGGCGGCCCGCTCCGCCGGGCCAAGTTATTTCCCTGCAGGCTGACCAGCACCATCGCACCCTTCCTCAGTTGGCCAGTGTATGCCGACAGCGAGCTTAAGCATGTCACGGCCCAGTCTTTCGCAGGCCAGTTCTCGAATCTAGTGGTTTTCGAGGCGAACTTCAGATTTGAGCTGATATTCCTCTGGGAGAGGACCTCGAATGTATTCAGCAGCACTTCCAGAAGGCAAAACACCAATCGTCTCGGAAGGCCTTTCAGGAATGGATCGGGGAGGACCTCAGGAAAGGAGGGGAAGATCGCTCACGCGATTGCCAAAGCCGCCCAACCCCCTCCCGAAGAACAGGGCGTCATCCCACTCAATGGTGTCCTTTCGGATGAACCCATCTTGGTCATGCAGCATAGGCTCATCTACTGGGAGCGGTGCTGGAGCCCCAAAGGACCTGGGACGTGCCCCGAGGACTCCACCTGGCTCGTCGAGCTCCGTAGAGTTGCCCTACAACGCGCTGCCGAGGAACCCTACCACACCGAGGCCGAAGTTTTTGACGTTGCTCGCAGGTGTAGCCCCAGCTCTGCAGGAGGGGCCGGCCTGTGGAACCCGCGGGAGCTCGACGCCCTGCCGGCACATGGCCGAGCAGCCCTTACAGACCTGATCAACCAGGTGCAGAAGACGCTTAAGTTTCCCGCCCAGGTAGTACTCAACACGATTCGCCTCCTCCCAAAAAGAGTGTTGATCTGGACCGTTCGATCACCCACGCCGGCAGCTTCTAGCGGATCCTGGTGAAGTCAGACCGTCCAGCATGGACCGCCTGGGACGTCAGCAACGCAGGTTTCTGGGATGAGGCGATCCGTTGCTCGTCCTGCCTCCGTGCCGCCCGTCTGAGTGAGGTCTCAGCGGGGCTGGCTGCGAGCATGGATATCCCTCTAGCAGAGGCCCTGATGGACATGGAAAAGTTCTTCGACACGGTCTGTGCTGAGTATGTTTGTGGAATGGGCATCAAATTCGAGTATCCCACCACGCCTCTATTATTAGGCCTCATCGTCCACCAGGGCGCTCGCTTTCTGTCATCGTCGTCGTTTGGCTGCTCGTCGCCCGCCTGCCCGACGGAGAGCGTCCTGCAAGGGTGTGCCCAGTCTACCTCCCTGGCGCGCGCCTTCCTCTATCACATCTAGGAGGAACTCCACTATCAGTTTCCCAGGGTGCGTTTCCCTGCTTGGGTCTGTGATTTTAGGTTACGATTATGGGGGTCTTCGGAAGAGATCTTGGAGGTGGTCCTGCAGGCCCTCGCGTTCCCTGGCAAACAGCTTCAGAGCAACGGTTGCAAGCTCTCCCCCAAGTCCTTCGTCCTTGCCTCAGTGCCTGGACTTGGAAGCCAGATCAGGCAGGATATCAAGAAGTTAGGTTGGGCCGTCAAGGCCTGCGCGCAGAGGAGGGGCCGCGGCCTTGAGACCACCATGGGGCTCCGCACAGTGCCCGAGACCCTCAAAGAACGCATGGGGGAAGGGCCCTTGGAGGCTCGAGAAGATCACCGAGCTCGCGAGGGCCAACGAACGATTTAGGAAGTTGGTGAACGCAGGGGCGAGACCGCAGCTCTTCTGGGGCTACCAAGGGCAGGGGGTCTCGCCGTCCGTTCTCAAGCATGTCCGTGGCAGGCTCGTGTGGGGACTAGGCGATTTTCCCATGTATGGATGTACTGCCGCAGGTTTCTCTTTGTCCGCCCGTGGCCAGCAGCTGGAAGACCCCGCGCATTTGTTTTGCCCGTGCAGGTGGTGGCCATCGTCAAGAGATGGTGCCCCGCAGTTGAGTGGCTGGCGGGCACGACCCGATGGAGTAAGGTTACCTCCCTCTACTCCGCCTTCGTCGCCGCCCTTCATGACCTCAGCGTGCACATGGCGGGGCCCTGGGGGTGGGCCCTGCCCGGAGACAAGCGTTGCAAGTAGGGCGGGTCAAGTTCCAGGGGGCCTTCAGCATCCACGTTTCGCAAGCGCCCTGGGAGAGGGCCTCGAAATTCCGCCTGGGAGGGGGGGTCCGAGATTGACGTGGACGCGTGCCAGTGTCAGGCTACCTGTCAAGAGTTTCGGAGGGGCGACCAGCCCGCGCGGGCGAAGGCGCTGCGCGCCATCGGGGAGGGGTCGATCTGGACCAACGCCCGTGCTCGCCAGCGCAAGCCCTGCCAGCCCTCCCGTTGCTTCGGATGCAGTGCGGCAGTGTGTGTGTGTGTGTGTATGTGTGTGTGTGTGTGTGTGTGTGTGTGTGTGTGTGTGTGTGTGTGTGTGTGTGTGTGTGTGTGTGTGTAGGGGGGGGGGGGGGGGGCGACCTGCGCTGCTTCTGGGCCTGCCCTGTCTCGAGTCGGAGCCCCGACCCCGCCGTCGGCGAGCCCCGGCGCCAGGTGGCCAAGACAGTGGGGCAGTTCCCGTCGCATCAAGTGAAGCGGGAGCGAGGGTTGCAGCCAGCTTGTTCTACCTCGGGAGCTCTGGGGCACCCCTCCGCCCGCCCGCCGTTGGAACCGCGGGGCCCCGCGTAATCCAAAGGGGCCCAATGAGAAGGGCAGTTCCTGGCGGGTCGACGCTGTAGGTGGGCGTTGCCCGCTGGGCCCGAGGCCCAGGAGGGTCGGATGGGGGTGGGAGTCAAAGGTGCCGACCTTGTGTCCATGGGAACCCATCGAGGAGGCCTGCCAGGAAAGCAGACCATCGGCCGCGGGGAACTGTTCGCGGTCGCCCAGGCCCTCCGCGACCTCGCTGGTGAGATTCTGATTGCAACAGATTCAGCACGCGTGTGTCGAGGAGCGCCGAGGGGGGCCTAGTGGACACATTGGGCCAACCTTGATCTTTGGCAAGATTATGGGGAGGCCCATCAGGGGCTAGACGGGGCCGTGGAGTTTTTCAAAACCCAGTCCCACCCATCCGGGTCCGATTTTGGGATTATAATATTCAGCCCTGGGTCTTTCTAGTGAGCTGGCAGACGAGATGGCCGGCGACGCAGCCGCCCGCGCTCAGTCGCCCGAGTGGGTCGCCCGACCCGTGCTGGAGACCGGCCGAGAGCCCGGCCTCGCACAGCGCCGCGTTGCCGCTACGCAGGAGTTTTGTCTAGGAGGTTTTCACCGCGCCGCCCCTTGCCCCCAAGAAGCGATGGCGGATCCGGCCCCCCGATGAAGCGGGGCCACGCTCGGCGCGTTCCTGAGGAGGTTCCAGAAGGGGTGCGGTGCAACATCTGTTTCAGGCAGGTGCCGGGCTCAGGGGGCTAAGAGGTCCTGGCTGGGTCAACCGTGCGCGCCGAATCATGCCCGGGCATTCCGCTCGACCCGCCTTCTGAACCTCCATGTCTTTCGTGGCCTGGCCTTCTGTAGCGGGTGCGGAGGAGTGTCGTTGCCGAAGGCCTTTAAGTTGAATGCTCCTTGCGCCCCCCTCACAAGCACAGGTAAGAAGGCCATGTCGAGACTTCTCAGAGGACAGCTGCCGCAAGGTCCGCAGCGGTGGCCCGCAGTTTTAGCGACGCAGTCCCGCGAAGACTGCGCTTCAGGTGTGGGCAATCCAGCTCATCGTATATACCGATAGGGCTGGTCTTTGGGCCCGTGAAGTGCACGGCTTCCCTTTAATAGCATGCAACATGCAACGTGGAGGAGAAGGATGAAGAGGCATGCGTCGCACGTGACACCTTGCGTCTGCACTTCTCGAGGGGCTTTCATGGAGCTCATTTTGGCAGTCTTGGGGCTGTCTCTGCCTCCTGTAGGCCGTCTTGGGGTCCCTCGTGGCCGTCTTGGTGGGGGTGTCTGGGGGCCGTCGTGGGGCCGTTTTGGGCCGTCTTGGATGCGCTGTGGTCCATCGTGGGGACCTCTTGAGCCACCTTGGGACCCTCGTGGGGGCGATGTGGGCCGTCTTGGGCCAGCTTGGGGGCTTCTTGAGGCGCTTAGAGCTGACGGAAATTAGAAGTGATGATACTGCCGAGATCATTCAACAAACCGTCGTAAGATAAGATCGGTTCGCCTCTTTGTACTTTCTTAGGGATCCTCCTTACGGCTATCTAGGGCCGTCTTCGAGGCATCTTGGGCCATCTTGTCGGCTTTGGTTGCCTGCTTGGGCCGTCTTGGAAACTCCGCGCGTTGACCCATTCCTTTTTACTAGGGATCGTGGCCTCGGGAGCGCAGACCCATTGCCGCTTACGGGGATGGTGGCTTCGGGGGAAGGGGGGGGTGCACGGGCATGTCTGCTACCGGGAGGGAGGGGGAACCCCTTAGAATATTACAGGCCCCGACCCGAGCATTTGGTACTCTACCACGTTTCAACGTGCCAGGGGGGCACGTTGGCGGATCCGCTCGTCCCCGCAGTGGTACCCTGGCTTGTCACCGGAGTCCTCCTTCGAGGAGTTCCAGCAGTACCTCTGGAGCCGCGGCCTCGGCGAATGCCCCGAACCCTGCGCGCCCGTTCCGCCAGTGGCAACCCCTGCTCCGACGCCCACGCCCGCGCCGACGCTGGCGCCCACCTCGGCGCTCACACCCGCGCCCTCTGTGGCGCCAGCGTCGCGTCCGACAGCCACGCCGACGCCGGCTCCGACGGCCGCCGCCGCGCCGCCGCCGACGCCGGGGCCCCCGGCCTTGCCGCCCACAGCCCCTCCGCCGCAGCAGGCCGCGTTCTGCTGCTTCTGGTCGCCCGGCGGGGGCGACGTCTGCGGGACCTGCTCCGAGCGGCAGGGCAGCGGCACCTGGTGCGGCGCGTCTGCGCACCGGTGCGAGTCGTGCAGCCCCGGCCAGGCAACATGGTGCGAAGTCGGGTCGCCAGTGGGCGCGCCCACGAACACGCCCACGCCTGCTCCCGTCGTTGCGCCGACACGGGCACCTGCGCCGGCACCAACAGCTGGGCCGACGCTCGCTCCGACGGCCGTGCCGACACGGGCGCCTGCGCCGGCACCAACAGCTGCTCCGACGCTGGCTCCGACGGCCGCGCCGACGCCGGCGCCGACGAGTGCACCCACGGTGGCGCCAACACTGGCTCCCACGCAGGTCTCTCCCCTCACGCCGGAGTGGGTGACGGGCACGTGGACGACTGGTTACTGGGACTGCTGCAAGCCCAGCTGCGCTTGGCCAGGGAAGGGGAGGACGACCGCGCCCGTGCGCGCGTGCAAGGCAGACAACTCGACCGCCAGCGCGACGGAGCCTTCTACCTGCGTGGGCGGCAGCGCGGGGACTTGCACCGACCAGCAGCCGTTCGCGATCAGCAGCAGGCCGATGGCCCCCGACATACAAACAAGACGCTGAAAGAAGGACCGCTTTTGGTTCGGAAAGGGCTCGCTGTTCCTTGGGCAGTTCCGTGGTCGTTCCTTTATAGTCGGCCCCGATTAATGGGGGCCTTGTGTCCACCCCCCCGTTTTGTCTTGTGAAGTCCGGGTGTAGCCTCACTCGTGCACCCAGGTGCTTATGGTACCCCAAAGGGGCTTCGTTCCTTAGTCGCCGTTCTTTATGATAGCAGCCCGACTGTAGGAGGGACACCAACGGCACATTTGCCGCGCACCTCTCCCGGAGAAGCCAGCCCTGGGACCAAGAGTGTTTTTTCCCCGCCCGGCAGGTTGGGGTCGTTCGATTTTAAGAACAGGCCTCCCGCCTCGCGCCACTCTGCATACCGCGGCCGCCAGAGCCCCAGTTCCCCCGAGTGTCCCCGAGAGTCCTGCCTCGCGCCGACAACTCATAACATGACAGAGCGGTATTACAACATAGCAGGACACAGTAGAGCACAACAGTATAAGCTATGACAGAACATAGCATACCACCACACCATATAACATAACGTATCCGAGCATCACATACCATAGCATGACATACTATATCGTAATATAACACACCATGACAGAGCAGTGCATACCACAGCACATAACCACCGCACGTAACATTACATAACATGACACAGCAATCATACCATACGACAGCATGGCAGAACTGAACATAACACATCATAACATGTCACCACCTCACATACTATGACATAGCATATGACAGCACAACACAGCATACCAACACCTGCTCTGACAGATCGGATCACTCTTAACTTAACATAGCATAACAACACACAGCATGACATAAACTACCATACCATACCATACCATGCCATAACACACCACAACCCAGCCTAGCATCACAACACGGATACTATGACCAGCACAGATGACACATCATGTCATGATGTAGCGCGGCATAAGTTGGTACACCACATCATCACATTATGACACACTCCAGCACACAAACCATCTGGCATACATAACAGAGCATCACACTACGGTTCATATAATCACATAATCTATCATACAATAACATACCATGACATACTATGCCAAACTATCACATACCATGGCACACCGTATCACACTGTAGCACAGCAGACATACCATAACACCACAACATAACAACGCACAACATCTCATACCATGTAGGAGCATGACATAATAGGACACGTCGTAACAACGCATGATCCGGGAGCTTACAGGGCATGCCATAACACCGCGCATCATAACAAACAAGGCCAGAACATATCATAACATAGCGTAACATAACGTAGTAGATGTTTCAGACAGTAGCATCACATATCATAGCATAGCATGTAATCACAGGACTTCATGACATGACAGGGCATACCATGACGGATCTCGGCATAACATCTTACCTATACGACCACCCTTCGGGTGATAAGGAGGTTCGGGGGGGGAGGAACCAACGTCTCACTCGATCGGTCTCACTATCGATCTCACTATCCATCTCAGTATCGGTCTCGCTCGATCGATCTCCCTCGATCGATCTCACAATCGATCTCACTCGATCTATCTCAGAATTGATCTGACTATCGATCTCACAATCGATCTCACAATCGATATCACATTCGGTCTCACTACATCATCATCATCATCATCATCACCATCATAATAATCATCATCATCGGGACGCCATAATCATCATCAACCTCATCAGCATCAACATCATCATCATCGGGACACAATCATAATCAGCATCATCAACATCAACATCATCATCGGGACACCATCATCATCATCATCATCATCATCATCATCATGATCATCAACATAATCATCATGATCATCATCATCCTCATCATCGGGACACCATCAGCATCAGCATCATCATCGTCGTCATCATCATCGTCATCATCATCATCATCATCATCATCATCATCGGGACACCATCATCATCATCATCATCATCATCATCATATCATCATCATCATCATCGTCCTCATCATCATCAGCATCATCAGCATCAGCATCACCATCATCATCATCATCATCATCATCATCATCAGCATCAACATCAGCATCATCAGCAGCATCATCATCAGCATCACCATCATCATCATCATCATCATCATCATCATCATCATCATCATCATCATCATCATCATCATCATCATCATCATCATCATCATCATCATCATCATCATCATCATCATCATCATCATCATCGCGGGACACCGCGGGACACCGGCGGGACACCGCGGGGCACCGCGGGACACCGCGGGACACCAGCGGGACACTGGCGGGACACCGCGGGCCCCCGGCCGCCCGGAAGGGAGTCATTTGGTCCGGCCGCGCCTCAGCCACACGGGACACCAGCGGGACACCGGCGGGACACCGCGGGCCACCGGCCGCCCGGAAGGGAGTCATTGGGTCCGGCCGCGCCTCAGCCACAGGAGACTTTTTCTCGCCCGCCCACGCAGCTTCGCCTCGCCCGCACGCACGGCACGCACGAACACGAAACCGAAATCGATTTCCCGGTAGGGGGGCTCTTCGTTCCACTTCGATCTCACCCCCTCACCTCCGATAACATAGCAGGAAATGAGACATAACCAAATGCCATGCCCTGGAAGAACAGAGCATGGCAGAATGCAGCATCGATAATATCATCTAATTGTTGGGCATACCCAGACGTAACGGAGCATAGTGGGGTATCTCATCACAGATCAGAACAGAGCGTACCGGACCTATTCTATTACTGCAACCACGGCGGCAACGACTGTACCCACACATCGTAGCTTTTACCATTCTGCAGAGGGTAACAGGAATAGCATAATCTAATGAACAGAGAACAGAGCGCAACATTACCAGCATACCACAGCATACTCATTTCACTGCTGATACCCAGACAGCAGGGCATCATATATTGTAATGAACTCACCACAATGTGAACAACATCTCTGATCAACGTATAACATAACATACATTAACATACCACATCATATGATAACATGGTGCTATCGAATGTTCTAGCATATTGTAGAACAGCGACCATAATCGAAGAGGAATATCATGACATACTATTCTCAAACGCGACGTGCGCGCCGAGGGCAGGCTGGCCTCTGGACCAAACAGGCAGAGGAACGACCGATTGGACGACGCATCGCACGTGACAGGCGCCACGACGTCACGCCAGACTGCCACTACTTCTGCTACTGCTGCTACTGCTCCTCTTCCTACTGGTTATTTTTCAGGGCATGGCTTACACCTTAGGCGATGCTTAAGAAAGCTTAAGTTTTCGGCCAGAGTCTCGATCATTCTTAGCGTTTCAATGTAAACCTTAAGAATTTAATAGAAATGTTGGGTTTTTATTCAAGTTCTGAGACTATGAATTTCTTAACCCATGATTTCTTAAGCATTTCGCAGGGTGTAGAGTCTCGCACCACGCGTTTTGGAGGTCAGTTTTTCGCCCCAGAGTTCGTTTCGGTCTCGTTCGTCGGGGGCTCTGGGGGGCTCTGGGTCCGACAGGTTTCAGGAGCACGGCAGCCTGCGACCCGGTCGGTCGGGGTCAGACGCCGAAGGCTTCGGTCGGGATCGCTCGAAGGAGAATCATGCTGTAGACTTCCCAATTGGGATCCGAGTGCAGTCGGGCCGAGGTATGAGATCGAGGCAGGTTCGGCGAGGATGCCCTACTGTTCTGAATGTTCGTTGGGCGTTCTCGTGCATCCTGGGAATGGTACCCTTGCATGTTCTTCAATGCGGACTGGCGAAGGTTCTCATGTTTTTGAGTGTTATTCTTCTGGCCCGGGTCCCACTGTAGATGGAGTCGGAGGATCGTGCCACATCGCCGATGCATCGGCGATGCGGGTCGATGTGGAGCCCGTGCCCATAACGACGGGGTCTCTCCTGGCGGCGGGGGCGTCGGCCTCGAGATCCTAGAAGCCTCGTGGCGGGGGGAGTGGCCAGGCAGCCGCCCAGCGCCGCCGCCGAAGCGCAGTTCTCACGAGTAGGAGGATGAAGGCAGCGAGGAGGGGCGAGGAGGGAATCAGGAGGGACCTATACCCCCGACTTCCATTCTAGGGCTCCCAGATGGGGTCAAGAACGGTATCGGAGTATCGCGCCGCATCGCCGACGGCGATGCGGCGCGATGTGGAGCCCGACTTTCTCCACACCGACGTCGCCGATACATCTCCGACGTAGCCGATGCATCGCCGATGCATCGGTGATGCATCGCCGATGCGGCTCGATCCTCCGACCCCATCTACTCCGACCTCATCTATGAGGCCTCTATTCATGATTCTCAGGCTTACGCCACACCGCCAACCCCTTAGGGGACTGGCGGTTGTTGTGTGTTGCACCTGAGGGCCTCTTGGGCGCTGTTTGCGGGCTTCTTCGAGCCCTTTTGAGGCTTCATGCGGGCCTCTTGTGGGCCTCGTGGAGCTTCGTGGGGACTTCTTAGGGACCTCTGGGGGCCGAGGATTCAACATGTGGGCTCGCGTTCCCTTCGGGGCCCTTCTTGGGGCGGTCATGGGTTCCTTTTGGGCCATGTTGGAGGCCTTTCGGGCCGTCTTTGGGGCCGTGTGGGGACTCTCTTTGGCTATTGAGGGGCCTTCTTGGAGGCCTCTGGGTCCGTCTTGGGGGCCTCTTAGGCCGTCGTGGAGCGTCGGGAAACCGAAAAGGCGAGAACGGGAAACTTTTCCAGAAACCGTTTGAACATCGATGAATGTTGCTTCTTGGCGCCCTCTTGGGAGGCCTCTTGGAGGCTCCGTGGGGGCCTGTTGGGGGCTCCTTGAGCCAACCGCGGGGCGTCTTATGGTCGAAGGCTTGAAGTGTACGTTCGGGTTCCCCCTTTGGGCCTCCTCTCGGGGCTGTCCTGTCGTCTTCGAGCTTTCTTGGGGGCCTCTTGGCCCGTCTTGGGGCGATCTTGGAGGCTTCTTGGCCCTGCTTGGACGTTGTGAGTGCCCAAGAGGAGAACGTGTTTTAAAAGTCACTTTTCCCAATGGTGCGCCTTTTGCCTCTGGAGGCCCTCTTGGGACGCCTCTTCGGGGCTGTGGCGTCTTGGGGGCCTCTTGGGCCGCCAAGAGGCCAGCGTTGGCGTTTCGGATCGATCTTTCGGCGACTCATGGCCTTTTTTGGACCAGGGCTGGACCTAAACTGTGTTTTTGGCGATTGCGTGGGCCGTTTTCGTTTCGATTTCGTTTTGCGGTGAAGGCGGATTCGAGACAAAAGCGATGGAAAACGAAAACAAAACGAAAACGAAACCCACCGTTGAGGTTCAGCCCCGTTTTGGGCCATCCGGGAGCCCTGTTGGGGTCCTCTTGATCCGTTTTGGACCCTGTCCCCCCATGGCGCGCTCGGCCGGGCCCCTGGGGACTCGACCGGACCGGGCTCCCATGGGGAGCATCTCGCACGCCGATGGACCCCAAGGAGCCGGCGGATTTTTTTTCACAGCGTCGACTCCCGGAGATCTCGACCCCTTCCCTGGGGCCATCTTCTCGTCGTGAGTGAGCCTTCTCGTGGCGGTCCCAGGGGGGCCGGCGACGGCCCCCAGGGAGCGAAGTTACCCTCCCCCCCGTCGTGCTGTTGTTTCCGCGGCGCGAGGGGTCTGGAGGAGAAGGCGGGGGCCAGCGAGGGCGGAGGGAGGGCGAAGGGCTGCCTTTTTGGGGGCGGCACCGAGGAGCAGGGCCGGACCTGAACGGTGTTCTGGCGACTTCGTGGGCCGTTTGCGTTCCGACTTCGTGTTTTGCGTTAGAGGTGGATTGAAGACAAAACGAAGGACAACGAAAGCAGCACGGAAACGAAAGACACCGTTCAGGTTCAGCCCTGCCGAGGAAGCGCAGGCCCGGGTCAGCGGGGCGTGGGTCCGCGACGGGTCCCGCTTCCGCGCAGCAGAACCTGCGCGCTCCGTCGCCACACCGGGCACGAGCCTCACTTTGCGGGAAGTGTATCTTTCAGGAGGGGAGAAAACACACAGGCATAATTCATCGTCGATTCCCCAGAACACATGGGAGAATATGGGAAGTGGGGGGGACCAGAAAGTATGGGAAAATATGGGGGATCTGGTCATTTGTGTGTGGTTATGTGTGTGTCCCGATCCCTGCGCGCCGCGGGAGGCCTCCACGGCTCCCCGATCCGCGGAGGCCTCGCGCGGCGCACAGCGGCTGCCTCACCACCCACCAAGAGCCGCCCCAACCCAGCCCGAAGGCCCCAATTTTGGCCTCCCTTCCCGGTGTGGGGGGGTCGTGCAGCATGGAACGAGCACATCCGGAGCCCGTACCCCGCCCCTCCAACCCGAGATTCGGGTCTTCGGGTTGGGTCGGGGTGGTCTCGCAGGCAGCAGCCATCTGATCCGGTCCACATGTCCACCCCGTCCGATATGGAACCAAGTTCGGACGAAGTTTGCGCGGCGATGCTCCGACGGAAGCCCGATGTGGATCCGGCGTGGATCCGACGTGGATCCGACATGAGTCCGACGTAAATCCGACGTGGATCCGACGTGGATCCGACGTGCATCCGACGTGCATCCGAGGTGAATCCGACATGGATCCGACATGAACTGGGTTGCCGCGCGAGGTCTCTAGGATTTCCCCCGTAGGATCCCTTCAGTCGGACCGAGGAAGATCGAGGTCGGCTCGGGGAGGGTACCCTAGTGCTCTTCGTGCGCGTTGGATGTTCTTGCGCTTGCTGGGGAGGGTGCCCTTGGATGCTCTGTTTGTTTTCGCCGACGGAGGGTCTCATGCTCTTGCAGGATGTTCTTCTGGCCTGTGTCCGCTTGTAATCCATGCTGGCGTGTGCCCCACTGTAGGCTGAGCATGGGCTTCGCCGCCGCCTCCGTGAGCGGCCTGCACGGCCTGCGCGGGGACGACAACTGCGGGCAGTGCTACGAGCTCCGCTTCACGGACGAGGAGCACCGCAGCAGCAGCGGCTGGGCCTGGGGCGGCGCCCACGCGCAGCTGGCAGGCAAGAGCATGGTGGTGCAGGCCTGGCGGCGCGCCGAGTCGGCAGTTCAAAGATGGGGGCCCTGAGGGATGGGCCCCCGAGGACGAGGGGCCTGGAACTACTCAGAGGAGGAAGATGTGCCGACACCTCTACCCTTGCCGCTTTTTTTCCGTTTTGGGCCTCCTGGGGGGCCCTCGTCGCCACCGCTGGATTCGCTTCGAAATGCTGATCAGAACGCACTCTGGGAGAGGTGCAGCGAGTAGCGGTATCGGTCCCTTCTGGCTCCCCCACGAGCAGTGCAAACATTCGACTTGTGATGCCCTCCTATCCTTAGGGCCCCAAGCCTCAGTGCTCCATTGTTTGGAACCCCCGACCAGAGGGTGCCAGGGCGAGAAGGGCTGCCTTCTGGGAGGACTCGTCGGCGAGTGCAGTGGGCGTGGTTACGCTGGGGTGTGGCTTGCGACCTTCGCCGCTGGTCACCGAGCTCGTTCCACTATTCGCAAAATGCCTACTCGCAAACGTCAGGAAACACACACGTTTGCCTCGATGGAATGGATCGTAGGTCCCCCGCGGCAAATCCAGGCCATTTGCGAGCAGTTATTCTGCGAGTATATTGGAACGCGCTTGTCTAGTTGGGGCTTGGGGGGCACCGCGCTGCGCCAGAGGCTTGGTGTCCCTGGTGGCGGCGCGGCAGAGGACTCTGCCGAGGCCCTCGCCTGCCCCCCGGGGCGTGGGCTGCAAGCCGCAACCCCTCTGCAGGCCACACCCCTTGGCATCGAGAAGCGTCCTGGACCATCGAGGAGCATCCTGGACCATCGAAGAGCGTCCCATCGAGGAGCATCGAGGACCATCCTTGTTTCTCGGCGAGGACCATCGAGGAGCATCATGGATCATCGTGCGAAAAATCAGCGCACGAAGCCAACACATGCACCTGTAAGGGACGTCCGAGCGATGGCAAGATCCTGCGGGGGCACCGAAGCAGCTCCGCCTTTGAGGAGGGCGCAGGGTGCCCGATCTGCAGGGGAGCCCGCCCCCTCTGCGCGGGCCCGGGCCTGTTCAGTCAGGAGGGAAGGGGGGCTCAAAAGACGGGGGTCCATGCAGATAGGGGTCAGTCAGAGCGCCGGATCTTGCAGAATCCTGCAGAGCCGGGGGTATCAGCAGATCCCCGAGGGAATGAAGGATGTACACGCGCCTGTCACGCTGGTTTCGGAAGTGTGCACTGCGCGAACGTTCATATCACGAGGCTGGTCTCGCGGACTGCGGGGCCGCATTCATGTGCAGTCAACCCGCATAGTAAGGATGAGCAATGATCCCAAGGGTACCCTTGCATCCTTGCCTCCTCGGTCCATCCTTCGCCACTTTCCTTGGCCGCGCCCTGTGCGAGAAGCTTCGACATGGGCGTCCAAGGCCCTTGCATCCTTATCGCGCATCTTTATGATACAGGCCTCTATGCTGCCCAATGAAATAATAAACATTATCTTCTGATACGGGCCGACTTTACGTGGTTGGGCGCGCACGTCCTTGGTGGGCTCCCTATTTGGGGGTGCAGTCTGACCAGAATGCTGAGTGGAGTCTGGTCGTGGCGACGAGGACGCGCCCAGACGGCCAGAGGCGCAGGGAAGTGCCTTTAAACCTTGGTCCTCGAGTCTCGACCATGGAGCCTCGATCGGTTTCCTCGACTCGAAGAAGAAACCACGCCATAAACATAAACTTTGGGCGCTCCGCGTATTTCTTGGATCCCGGACGCTGCGTCCGCTCCGTGACCTTTGCCTTGGAGCCGCGAACCAAAAAAAGTATTTCTTGGATCCGCGCTGGGACCCCCCGGTGGCGCCTCCGGCGCCGCCCCTGGCGCGCTCAGCGCGAATCACCAAAAGTTTATGCTCGTGCAGTTTTTCCTTCTTCTACCGACGTCCTGCCGCCTTCTTGCGCGCCAGCCGGCAGGTTACGAACATCGGGTACGATGTTGTCGGGGAGCACAGCTTCGACCTGATGATCCCCGGGGCGGGGCAAGGCTCGGCGGCGAGCGAGGGGCGAAAGTGAGGAGGGGCGGTCCTTCTCAGAGGGCTCGGAAGGCCTCGGGCCCTCTGTTCTGTGCCTGCACCGAAGACATTCGCCTGGCGAAGGACCCAGCCACGTGCGGGTGTGAATACCGCGTTGTAGGTACCCCCCGCTGTGGATAGGGTGTCATGTAAAGGGTGGGGTGCCATGCAACGGGTGGGGGAAGACGCATGCGGAGCTCCACCGAAGACACTGGGGCCTTCGGTGGAGCTCCGCATGGGGCTCCCTATGCGGCCACGAAACGTTTGAGGGTTGTGCTGGGATGCGTGGCCTGGGCGCATGCGAACGGCAGCATTGGGGCCTTGGGTGGAGCTCGCCATGGGGCCACGAAACGTTTGAAGGGTGTGCCGACATGCGTGACGGGGACGCATGCGAACGGCACCATCGGGGCCATCGGTGGAATTCTCCATGGGGTCACGAAACGTGTGAGGGATGTGCCGAAATGGGTGGCGGGAACGCATGCAAACGGCTCCACTGGGGCCTTGGGTGGAGCTCCCTAGTGGGGCCACGGAATATGTGAGGGGTGTGCTGACATGGGTGGCGGGGGCGCATGCGAACGGCACCATTGGGGCCTTGGGTGGGGCCCCGGATGGGGCCACGAAACGTGTGAGGGGTGTGCCGGGATGTGTGGCGGTCACGCGTGCGAGCGGCACCATTGGGGCCTAAGGAGGAGCTCCCCATGGGGCCACGAAACGTGTGAGGGGTGTGCCGACATGGCTGGCGGGGACGCATGCGAACGGCACCGCTGTGGTCAGGTGGAGCTCCCTATGGGGCCACGAAGCGTGTTAGGGGTTCGCCGACATGGTAGACTGATGCGGAGAGCAGAAATCAGGAGGGGGAGGAGGGGGGGCAGCGGGAGGAGAATGACGAGGAGAAGGAGGAGGAGAACGCGGGGCGTTGTCTCTTCGAAACGCGGACCCAGCACCGCATCATGTTTGGGAGCGTAATCACTTCTCGGAAGGCCAGATGGCTTCCGAGAAGTTCTGCCGCCTCCTGAGAAGGCCTGCCTCACTTCAGGGCTGGACCTAATCGGTGTTTTTGGTGATTTCGTTTTTTTTTTCGCTTCGACTTCGTTTTGCGGTAAAGGAGGATTCGAGACAAAAACGAGGGAAAACGAAAACTAACGAAAACGAATAACACCGTTTAGGTTCAGCCCTGCCTCGCTCCCCCCTGGACTCTCCGCCTAAAGGCGCCTTCAACACCGTAGCGGGTTTCGTTTCAATCCCACGGCTTTTTGAGGGTCGGGGACGACGTCGGGGTAGTGTGGTGTATACTTCTCCCCCGTTTTCCAATGGAAACAACGAAAAATGTATACACCAGGATACCGTATACACCAAGATCCGCGTCCCTGTGCGAATTTCAGCACATGGTCGGACAAAGCGTCGGTGTATAGAGCTCGTTTCCCTAAGAAGGCCTGCCTCGCTTCCCCCCCCGCTCGCCGCCCAAAGGCGCCTTCAACACCGGCTGCCCGCGCCAGTTCGCGGGGTACTCGTCCGGCCAGTTCGACTGCAACAACAACTGGGGCGGCTGCGGCAGCGCCGGCGGCTGCGCCGCCCTGCCCCCGGAGCTGCGGGCGGGCTGCGAGTGGCGCTACGCGTGGTACTACTGGTACTCCTCCCCCTCCTCCTCTTCCTCCTCCTCCTCCTCCTCCTCCTCCTCTTCCTCCTCCTCCTCCCCCTCCCCCTCCTCCTCCTCCTCCTCCTCCTCCTCCACCTCCTCCTCCTCCGCGCTGCAGGCGGCGACCTTGCCCACGGCAGGCAGGCGGCAGGTGGGGCCGGCGCGTGGCCGATGCATCGCCGCTGCGGCGTGATCTGGATCACGGCGTCTCCCATCCCCGCGCTCATCGCCACTGCGTCGGCGATGCGGCGCGGCCCGTCCGCCTTTGGCTCCATGTCGGATGGCCTCCAGGTACGCAGCCAGTGGCCGGACGAACAACCCGTACGTCGACTTCAGGCGCGTCAGGTGCCCCTCCCGGCTGACCGACATCAGCGGCAGCGTTCCGCTGGACGACGGCGACTTCCCGGCCATCGATCTGGGCGATTACCAGTAGGGTCATTTGTTGCGTTTCTGGTGCGCGAATCGCCCTCAGTGGCCTTTCGGCGAGCACCTTTTTTGTGGAAAGCTGCGGCGGTACGGCCTCCTCGTGTACAGCTTGAGAAGGCATGCTGGCGGCGCAGAATCTCGACGCCGAGGTCCTCATGAGATCTCTGGCGCGTGGAAGTTTTGTGATCAACAGAATAGGTTCTTGCACGAGCCGAGGATCTGTATGCTCTGATCACTTTGCAGCCGGACTGCTCCATCCAGCGAGCGTCCTTGAGGAGCGCAACCATCGCAGATGTCGAGCGAGGGCGAATTACTAGCCGGTGATACTGGCCAGCGTGCGTCACAGATCTTCCAAGCGCTACACCCTGGAACATCCTCCCAATGCAGAGGATCAAAGCTCCAGAATATGTAAACACAGGAATCTCCATCATCATTTTCGTGAGCCCCTGAAGAGCGAATGCTGCCGGCTGTTCGTAGTCGAATCATCTGTCCCTACCTGCCAATCAGCCGTCCCAGCCGGGCCAAGCTGCGCACCCGCCCGCCGACCCGCCAACCAGCCCGGCCCGCCGGCCCGCCAACCGGCCCAGCCCGCCGTTTCGCCCACCAGCGCTCCCGTCGACCCCTGGCGCCGCCTGCCTTCCGTCACCACCTGGGGGGGGGTGCGCTGTTTTCTTTCCGAGCGCGTTCCACTACTCGCAAAGTGCTAACTCGCAAACGTCAGAAGCAAGAGCAACTTGTCGTCCTACATGTAACGGACCGTAAGTCCTTCGAGGTGGATCCAGGCAATTTGCGAGTAGTTCTTGTGTGAGTAGTGGAAGGCGCTTGTCCATTTCACAAACTAGACAGACAACAAACGTTTTCTAGGAATTCTTAGGAATTTGGCGATTCGTTTGGGGATGAAGTGTCTCTGCAACTGGAGTATTATCTGTCTCGTTCGCATACAAGCACAGTAAATCGCGAGCTGCTAAATACGCACAAATATTAGTGCAACTGACTTTTCGTTAGAACCCCAAACAATAATTTCCTGAAGTTTTCAAGCTCATATTCCAGGGAGCTTACTGTCCGCATTGAAGGCGCTGTCAGGGAGAACATCGTCCTCCCGGGGCCCAGCAGATCTGCCGGTGGGGGCCTCGCGAGGTCCGCCCCGTCCCCGCTCTCCCGAGCCGCGCTGGGCGAGGTGGGGGGGCGACCGCCAAGGAGAAAATGGAGGAGGAGGAGGAGGAGGAGGAGGAGGAGGAGGAGGAGG